TTTTTTTTTTTTTTTTTTTTTTTGAGATGGAGTCTCACTCTGTGGTCAGGCTGGAGTGCACTGGCACGCTGTCGGCTCACTGCAACCTCCGCCGCCCAGGTTCAAGCAACTCTCTTGCCTCAGCCTCCTGAGTAGCTGGAATTACAGACACCCACCACTATGCCCAGCTAGTTTTTGTATTTTTAGTAGAGATGGGATTTTGCCATGTTGGCCAGGCTGGTCTTGAACTCCTTAGCTCAAGCAATCCCCCTGCCTCTTCTTCCCAAATTGCTGGGATTACAGGTGTTAGTCACCTGTAATCCAACAGGTGACTAACACCTGTAATCCCAGTAATTGGGATTTGGGGCTGTAATCCAAGCCCCAAATCAATTTTTAAAAATCCAACCTGGACCAGGCACAGTGGCTCATGCCTGTAATCCCAGCACTTTGGGAGGCCGAGGCGGGCAGATCACGAGGTCAGGAGATCAAGACCATCCTGGCTAATACCGTGAAACCCCACCTCTAAAAAAAAAAAAAAAAAAGAAAAGAAAAGAAAAGAAAAAAAAAAATCCAACCTGATAGGAAAATCAGCCTAGCAAATGGACAGTTCACACAAAAGGAAATACAGGTGGGCCTTAAGCTCATGAGAAGATAGTTGGTTTCATTCATCATTAGGGAGAAAAATACAAATTAAAATTACTTTGAGAGCCCTTTAAAATCACATGGGAGACTGGAAAAGATCTAAAATTTTGACAAGGGCTGTCCAAGGTATGGAAACAGGCTCTGCTGGCCGGTGTAGAAACTGACACATCCTGCAGATGTGGATGTGGCAATACCTGTTAAGATTGAGAGCAAATATGCCCTTTGACCTACAGCTCCCGAAATGGAGCACAGAGATACACTTGCACTTAAAGGAAGTGACAGGTATACCAGATTCTTTACTGCAACATTGTTCATAATAGTATCAGGCTGGAAGCAAGTCCAACAAGAGGGGATTGCCTAATGAGGTGCACTGTGAGGATGAAACATCATGAGGCTGCAAGAAACATGGAAAAAGCTCTTTAAGGGTATAAAGAAGAATTTCCAGGCCTGGTAGGATGGCTCATACTTGTAATCCCAGGACTGGGAGGCTGAGGTGGGAGAATTGTTTGAAGCCAGGAGTTCAAGACCAGCCTGGGCAACAAAGGGAGATCCTGTCTCTGCCCAAGATTTAAAAATACACTGGGCAAGGTGATGTGTGTCTGTAGTCCCAGCCACTCGGGAGGTTGAGGCAGGAGGATCACTTGAGCCTAGGAGGCGGAGGTTGCAGTGAGCCAAGATCACGCCACTGCACTGGAGCCTGGGCAACAGAGTGAAACTGTCTCAGATAAATGAATAAATAAAAGTATTAAAAAAAAATAATAGGCCAGGCATGGTGGCTCATGCCTGTAATCCCAGCACTTTGGGAGGCCGAGGCAGGTGGATCACCTGAGGTCAGTAGTTCAAGAACAGCCTGGCCCAACATGGTGAAACCTCATCTCTACTAAACATACAAAAATTAGCCAGGTGTGGTGGTGTGCTCCTGCAATCCCAGCTACTCAGAGGCCGAGGCAGGAGAATCACTTGAACCTGGGAAGCGAAGGCTGCAGGGAGCCGAGATCGTGCCACTGCCCTCCAGCCCAGGCAACAAGAGTGACACTTCATCTCAAAAAATAATAAAAATATAAATAAAATAAGAAAATGATAAATAAAATGGTTGGAATCCCACATTTTATGCTGTGTGTTATTATGCATGTGTATTGGTACCACAATAATAAAAAACAGGGCTGGACATGGTGGTTCATGCCTGTAATCTCAGTACTTCGGGAGGCTGAGGTGGGCGGATCACTCGAGGTCAGGAGTTTGAGACCAGCCTGGCCAACATACTGAAACCCTGTCTCTACTGAAAATATAAAAATTAGCTGGGCGTGATGGCACACACCTGTAAGCCCAGCTACCCGGGAGACTGAGGCAGAGGTTGCAGTGAGACTGCACCACTACACTCCAGCCTGGGAGACAGAGTGAGACTGTCAATAAAGAAACAAACACAAACGTGGTTGGCCTGTAATGCACACGTGCCGGGATGCACACGTGAGGGTGTCATGGGGACGGGATTGTCCTGTGCCCTCAGCCGCCCCCGTCCACCCCCTGGACCCGTGGGATCACAGCAGTGTATTCTGTCTGCCAGGGCCACACGCTTCCTCTGCGCTCACTCAGCTGAAGAAAAAGTACCAGACGCCCGGCCAGAGGATGACTGCCGTTCTGGGCTGAAAGGAGAAGCGCCTGGTGGTCTCCAAGTAACCGCCTTCCTGGGGGCTCAGCAGGCGTAATCCTGCCTGTCCTGCTTATGTCCTGGCAGAGTGTCTGGCTGCAATTGAAGGTTTGTGCTCTGTACAGAATCGACTGGTACTGATTAGATGTCCAGAGTGGGAGGGGAGAGGGGAAAAACAAAACCCTAAGATTCTGGCAAGGAAGGAAGAAAGGAAAAAAGGGAGGGAAGGAGGGAAAGGAAAGAACAGAGTGGAATGCAAGTCTTGATGCCATAGAACCATGCCCTGGAAGACCAAAACCAGCCACACTGCTAACCAGTTACCGGAGCTGTGAGATGCTCATTTAAAGCTCGTCTCAACCAAAGTTTCTCACGAAGGCTTTGCTTTCAGCCGCACCTCTAAGTCCTAAAACCAAATGCCTCCTGGATTTGTCAAGTCTCTCAGGCTCGCCGGGTGCCACAAAGCCACTCCTCCTCCTGGGTCCTTGTTTGGGGACAGACCCAGGGTCTACCCAGTCACCTGGCTACAACTCTGGGCGCCATCCTCGGCCCTCTCATCCCTTCCCCCACCCACCCTGTCTGCCCGTTGTGCCCCTGAATCTCTTTGCCTCCTCCCCTCCTGTGCCATCCTCCCCACTCTGCCCCAGCTCAGACCTCCACACCTGCCCATCCGCTCCTAACTGGACCTGTGCCCCAGCCTGGCCTCTTGGCCTTCACTCCCATCCTCCACATGGCCTGAGAGACCTCTTACTATATCCAGACCTGGCCCCGCTCCTCCCTTCCTCAGAGCTCTCTATGGCTCCCAGTGCCCTTGGACAAGGCCCTAGCCCCTCGGCTCCTCCATGAACCTGATGACATTTTCAGCCTCCTCCATTATGCTCCAATGCTACAATTTCTCCCAAATGTGCCAGATTCTGTTCCTGTTTGGGGTTTGGACTGGCTGTCTCCTCTCCCACCACCCCTCCAGCTATCTCCTCTCCCGCCATCCCCCAGCTGTCCCCTCTCCCGCCATCCCCCAGCTGTCCCCTCTCCCGCCATCCCCCTGGTTGTCCCCTCTCCCACAATCCCTCCAGCTCTCCCCTCTCCTGCCATCCCCCCCAACTCTCCCCTCTACTGCCATGACCCTAAGCTCCTCTCTATGCCAGAAGATGCTGTGCCTTCTTTCAAGTGAGGCTGGGGATCTCTACTGGCCTCTGCAGGGCCTCCATCAGAGCACAAATCACACCAAGTTACAACCACAGCATGGGGTTTTCCAAATGAAGGAAGTGGGTCTGCCCATCTCGGAAACCCAGCATCACTGAGCACAGCCCTGGAGCATGGAAGGCCTCAGAAAACGGACGATGACCGCACAGAAAGGAGAAACATGCAACAAACAAACCAAGGGAGGTGCCCGTGGCAAGAGACACAGCAAACAGGAGGAGACGCGGACAGGGACGGGGAGAGAGGCCGGCCGCCAAGCCACCTGCAAGGAGTAGTGGAGGCTGGAGGAGGCTGGGTGCAGCGTGAGGTTCTGGAAGGGCTGGATTCGGGGCTGGCCCCAGCCCTTGTCATTCCATTCCACCAACAGCATGTGGTCAGTGAATGTCTTCCCAAACACCAGGGGTTCGCCGGGGCCAGGCTTCTTATGAGGCTTCTGTGTCATTTCCAGCTGCAGGTCTGCAGCCTGAGAAAAGATGGGGGTGTCCTAGAATCTAGCCACAACCTCCAAGCTGAAAAACTACAACTCCCATGAAGCTCTGGGCCTCAGACCCATAGAAAAGGACCTGTCACCCTGGAGGATTCTGGGACATACTGTTTCATCTCTTTCCCACAGCCCAGTGACAGCCTATTAGGCTTCTGCCACCCACTGCCATCTCTGGGTTGTGGACCTTTTGGAGATGCCCAAAACCAGCTGCCAGTCCCCTCCTCCCTCAGAGCCCAGCATAGAGTTCCCTCCTTTCACCTTGAAATTGGAGGAGGCATATCTTCTGGGACCACACAGGAGCCAAGGGGAAGAGAGAAGTTTCCGGGCCCAGATCTGGGTGGAGAAAGAAGAGGGGGGGTGAGTGGGGTACAGCAGGGGCCCTCGCAGCCCACTCACCACCTCCTGTATTTGGAGGTCCCACTGGGCTGCCTGCTCTGCCCCAGTCCCAGTCCACCCTAGACAGGGGCATGTGGTCCTGAAGGAGGCCAAGTTCCCTCCCTGCCCCAAGAAGGGCTCCCTAGAGAGAGCAGAGTCTGCCCCAGCCCCCTCCTCCATGCTGGGGCAAAGTCAAACGCAAGCACCTCCCACCCCAGAGACCTTTGGTCCAGCCTGGAGAGCAGCTCAGACAAGATGGCGATGATGAAGGCACACAGGTAAGTGAGGGCCTCCAGGGACCCAAGGGCTGACAGGCCTTAGAAGACCAAGGGACTGACAGGTGCTCTCCCCCAGGGCTCAGAGGTGCAGACCCAGGCCCTCCTCCCTCAGATCTAAGAGTCCAGCCTCTAGCCACCTCCTTCCTCAGATCCAGGAGTCCAGGCCCCAGCCCCTCCTCCCTCAGACCCAGGGGTCCAGACCCCCAGCCCCTACTCCGTCAGACCCAGGAATCAAGACCCCTAGCCCCATCCTCCCTCAGACCCAAGAGTCCAGCCCCCAGACCCTCCTCCCTCAGACCCAGGTGTCCAGGCCCCCAGGCCCTCCTCCATCAGACCCAGGTATCCAGACCCTCAGGCCCTCCTCCATCAGACCCAGTAGTCCAGATGCTTATTCTCTGAACGTATTTGATCAACTGGGCTCTGATTACCTGAAGTGCAAAGCTTACACCTTGGATACCACTTTGACAGTGACTTCAATTCCCTTCAGCCCCTGGGGCCTGGGGAGCCACCGCAGTCATCACTGCACAAGGCTCGGGCGGGCCCTCCCTGAGGGTAGCAGGGAGAGCAGGTCTGGCTGTCGAGGAGGCTGGCCCCTCTCCAGTGAACTTGACCTCACAATACCTCTTTCCCCAGCCATGTGGCAAGCCAGCTGGGGCATGAGGTTGTGGGAGACAGAGGGGCCTGTCCCGTCCTGCCCTGTGAGCTGGGTAAGCTGGCACTGATTCTGGAGAATGGACGTGAATGGCCATGTCACTAGTCACTAGGTGAGTCGCTGGGAGATGGGGCTGCTGCGTGGTCTCGATGGTGTGGGGCTCCAGGGATTCTGGGGTGATCAGAGTGTGGGGCCCCTGATGGCCTCTGGGTGGCAACATCTAGCCTGCTCAGCCCGGCAGCCAGGCTTCTGCCCAGAGGGACAGGACACCCACGGTTATGAGACAGACAGACACAGTACAGGGACAGCAACCCCCAGAGCCAGAGCCAAGATGAAAAAAGAGAGTAAGAAAGGGAAGAGGAAGGATGAGAAAAAGAGACACAGAAAAGGGGGCACAAACAGAAAAAACAAAAACAAAACAGAAATTGATGCCAAGAAATGCCAAAATAGTTCTAATCATAGAGAAAGGTCATGCTGTAATCCCAGCTCTGTGGAAGGCCAAGGCAGGAGGATAGCTTGAGGCCAGGTGCTCAAGACCAGCTGGGCAACAGAGAGGCCTCATCTCCATAGAAAATACAAGTTAGCTGGGTGTGGTGGCATGCACCTGTAGTCCCAGCAACTTGGGAGTGTGAGGCAGAAGAATTGCTTGAACCTGGGAGGTGAAGGTTGCAGTGAGCCGAGATTGCACCACTGCACTCCAGCCTGGGCAACAGAGCGAGACTGTCAAAAAAGAAAAGAAAAGAGAAGAAAAGAAAAGAGGCTGGGCTCAGTAGCTCATGCCTGTTATCCCAGCACTTTGGGAGACAGAGGTGGGAGGATTGCTTGAGGCCAGGAGCTCCAAGATCAGCCTGGGCAAGACAGCAAGCAAGACCCTGTCTCTACAAACAATTTAAAAATTAGCCAGCTTTGGTGGCACACACCTGTAATCCCAGTTACTCAGGAGGCTGAGGTGGAAGGATCACTTAAGCCCAGTAGGTCAAGGCTGTGGTAAGCTGTGATCACACTGCTATACTCCAACACCAGTGACAGAGCATCTCAAAAAAAATAAATAAATAAAATAAATAAAAAATCAGGCTTGGTGGCTCACGCCAGTAATCCCAGCATTTTGACAGGCTGAGACAGGTGGATCGCTTGAGCCCAGGAGTTTGAGACCAGCCTGGGCAACATGGCAAAACCCCGTCTCTACTAAAAACACAAAAATTAGCCAGGCATGGTTGCACGTGCCTGTAATCCCAGCTACTTAGGAGGCTGAGGCAAGAGAATTGCTTGAACCCATGAGGCGGAGGTTACAGTGAGCCGAGATCGCGCTACTGCACTCCAGCCTGAGCGACAGAGCAAACCTTAGTCAAAAAGAAAAGAAGCTGGGAGCGGTGGCTCACACCTGTAATCCTAGCACATTGGGAGGCCGAGGCGGGTGGATCACGAGGTCAGGAGATCTAGACCAGCCTGGCCAGCACGGTGAAACCCCATCTCTACCAAAAAATTAGCTGGGCATGCTGGTACGTGCCTGTAATCCCAGCTACTCAGGAGGCTGAGTCAGGAGAATCACTTGAACCCAGAAAGTGGAGGTTGCAGTGAGCTGAGATCGCACCACTGCACTCCAGCCTGGGTGACAGAGCAAGACTCTGTCTCAAAAAGAAACAGAAATAAAGGTTTGGGGGTGCACAGGGCAGGTATCTATAATGTGACAGAACCTCCACTATGTCCCATACAGCCCAGGAGTATCGCCATCAAAGACCAGAAGTGTCCCTGTTGAAGCCCAGCAATGCCCTCCATACTCCAGGACTGTCCCCATATCACAGTGCAGGACAGACCCCATCATAGCGCAGTCTGCCCCTGTCACGGCCCACAAACGACCCCATCACATCTAGAACTGCCCCCTTTATAGCCCAGGCCTCTCCGGTCACAGACCAGGGCTATTCTATGACAGCCCAAGACGCTCCCCATCACAAGCCCAGGTTGTGCCCGTAACTTATGAGAACTGGTCCACAGCAGAGCCAAGTACTGTCCCCAGACAGCTCAGGAATACCCCCCTCCACAGCCCAGCACTTTTCCCCACTGTAACCAGCATTGCCTCTGTCAAAAACCAGGGCTTATTTCCTATTCATCAGGTCTGAAATTAAAACAAAACAAAACCCAGTGTTGTCCTTTTCAATCCCCAGGACTATCCCTATGTCTCTGTCTAGGCCAGTCCCTTAGAAACTGTCCCTACCATGGTCCAGCACTGTCCTCCCCACACGCCATCATAGCTGAGGACTCAGCCCAACTATCTCCATTACAGAATACCTCTGTCTTCAACAGAGCCCAGGAGTGTCCCATCATGAGTTCAGGACTCTTCTATGACACCTGAATTGTGCCATAATGAGACTGGCCACCTCAGTCCCAAGTGTACCTGTCAAAGCCCAGGACTGTCCCACCATAGCCCAGGAGTGTCACCACCAAAGGCCAGATTGCCCACATATCCCAGATATCCCAGGACTATCCCCATCAGTGACTAGGAGCTGAAGAAAGTGAAACTTTGCCCTGACATTCATCAGCTGGGATAATAGACTCAAGTAAAGTTAGGTGCAAAGTTAACAAAGAGACCGTTCTCCCGAGTTACAGCGCAGCTGTGAAGGCTCCTAACCACCACCGCTTTCTTTAGCTGTTTCCTTCCTCACTGAGAAACATTGTTCTCTGAAATCACAGACTCTGGGAAACGCTGCTGCTGTTTGACATCGCCCAGTCAGCAGGGATCATCTCAGCTGGCCTGCAGCATTTATATGTCATTTTAACCATGAGACGCTGCCTCGATTTCCAATCCAGGTGCAGAGCTTCAAACAGGAGTTTGGGACAACAATCCCCATCTCAATTTTATTTACCTTTCTTTAGAAGAAAATAGGACCTTGGATCCAATTCCCAGAGCTGAGACATGAGGTGGAACTCTGCCCTCACCGGCCCCTGGCCCTGGAGGTCTGGGCCCCTTTATTCCAGCGCCCCCACAGGCTGATGCCCCACCGCACCCCAGGGCTCCACTCTCCAAATCACAACTTCCCCACCCCGACGCCTCCCTCCTCACAGGATCCCCCTCCATGTTTCCCATTTTTTACCTCCCCAACAATTACTTGCCCCACCTCATCCGCGTCTACCCGCTCCCCCTCACCCCATTAAAGCCTCGTGCTCCTTTCCAAGGGTCGCCATCCTCCTCCGCGCCCCGCAGCGGAACCCCAGCGCGGGAGGGGCGGCGCCGAGTCAGACCCGCTGCAGGCCAGTGGTGCTACCGGAAGTGCGCCTCTCCAGGAGGTTCCCCAGCGCCCCCGGTGCCGGGCTGTGAACCCACCTGCCCCAGAGCGGCTGCGGCCATGATCCGTGCGGCGCGTAACTGCGCCCGCCCGGGGCGCGGCCCTGAAGAGAGACGTTCCGGCCCCGCCCCGCTCACGCCTCCTCCTAGGGGTAGGCGACACGCCCAGCACCCCAGGCCCGCCAGGCAGCCCCAGCTCCAGGGCGCCGGCGGGGAGCAGGACCCGCTTGCCAGACGCCCCACATTATTGCAGGGCGCAGGCGCTGGGGGGTGTTCAGGACTTGAAATACGGTCCTGGCCAGGCGAGGTGATTCACGTCTGTAATCTCAGCACTTTGGGAGGCCGAGGCGGGAAGATCACCTCAGGCCAGGAGTTCGAGACCAGCCTGGTCCAAAATGGTGAAACCCCATCTCTACTAAAAACACAAAAATTAGCCGGGCGTGCTGGGGGGTGCCTGTAGTCCCAGCTACTAGGGAGGCTGAGGCAGGAGAATCGCTTGAACCCGGGTGGCGGAGGTTGCAGTGAGCCGAGATGGCGGCACTGCACTCCAGCCTGGGTGACAGAGCAAGACTCTGTCAAGAAAGAAAGAGAGAGAGAAAGAAAGAAGAGAAGAGAAGAGAGTAAGGAAAGAAAGGAAGGAAGGAAGAAAAGAAAAGAAATACGGTTCCCACTCAGGCTGTGTTCCAGCCGCACTGAAGCCAGGTACTAACCGGCATGTAACGGTTTGCAAAAATGCATTTTCATGTCTCGGAGCGTTGGCAAGCATAAGTAGCCAGAGGTAAAGGAAGGGAAAGACAAAGAACAGGACGTTCTGTTTATCACAATACTTTTGTGAAAGGGAAAAGCACACCTTAAATATGAGTGGGCGCGAACACCATGTGAATGCACAGTAATGGGAGCGGTGCTTTGGAGAAGGGCCTCTGAAGAAGGCCGCAGGTAGGGATACAGGGGAGCCTGACTTTACAGCCTGGATACTGCCCTGTTCAAATGTAATTTTTTCGTATCAACAAAAAAGATATACGTGTACTCTTTGAAAGATTTATTTATTTATCTATTTAATTTACTTATTTGAGACGGAGTTTTGCTTTTGTTGACCAGGCTGGAGTACAATGCCAAGATCTCGGCTCACCGCAACCTCCGCCTTCTGGGTTCAAGCGATTCTTCTGCACCAGCCTCCCCAGTAGCTGGAATTACAGGCATGCGCCACCATGCCCGGCTAATTTTGTATTTTTAGTGGAGACAAGGGTTTCCCTATGTTGGTCAGGCTGGTCTCAAACTCCCTACCTCAGGTGATCTGCCCACCTTGGCCTCCCAAAGTGCTGGGATTACAGGTGTGAGCCACCGCGCCCCGCCTGAAACTCCTTAAGAGGTAAAAACACACACAATTCACCAGGGCTTCTTCCAGTCCCTTATCATCTGAGAAGCCTGAAAATTATCAATCCTGCCCTCATCAGTGAGCCTCAAAGAACAATCCCCAGCGCAGGGTTTTCCTGGTTATCCCTCCACGAGTATCTCCCCAGCACCAGGACCGCAGAGGCACAGTTCGACAATCACAGTCCTTCAGGATGCCTCGGACCTCTTGCAATTCAAACCTGCGGCACCGCCCCTCTGTCACTGTGCCCCCAAAATCTGCGGGTTACTGTGGCACCAAAATCATGTCCCTCGGCCGGACGCGGGGGCTCATGCCTGTAATCCCAGCACTTTGAGAGGTCGTGGCTGGTGGATCACTTCAGATCAGGAGTTCGAGACCAGCCTGGCCAACATGGTGAAACGCCATCTCTACCAAAAACACAAAAATTACCCGGGCGTGCTGGCGGGCGCCTGTAATCCCAGCTACTCGGGAGACTGAGGCAAAAGAATCGCTTGAACCCGGGAGGCGGAGGTGGCGGAGGGCCGAGATCACAGCACTGCGCTCCAGCCAGGGTGACGGAGCGAGACTCTAGCTCAAATTAAAAAAAAAAAAAAAAAAAAAAAATTGGGTCCCTCGGCCATTGTTCTCGGCAATCGTACCCTGGGACACTCAGTCTCCAAATTCCACCCCCACAATGTCCCCAGGCCCTGTCCCCGGGCCGCTGTCTCGCCAACCCTAACAGTCACAGGCCGGAGCAGCCAAACCGCGGGATCCTTCCCCCGCAGGGCGTCGCCCTGTTTTTCTGCGCTCTGCCGGGGCCCTCCCGCCCGACCCGCCAGCCCAGGGCTGCAGGGGCGGCGCCCACAGGCAGCTCCGGTCCCCGCCAATCAGCGGTTGCGGCACACGCCCTCCGCCGCAGCCAATCCGCAGCAGCCCTGCAGCTCCACCCCTCACCTGCGGGACGCCAGCGCGCTCGGGCCTGCGCCACTCCGGGATCCAGCCGGGGAGTCTGCGCCCCCTAGTGCCCTGCAGACCCCAAACCCAGGAGTTTCAGCCCCTTCTCCCTCTGATCCAGATGTCTGAACCCCCCCACATTCTCTTCCCTCTGGATGTTTCGTGCTAGCCACCTTCCTATTCCACAGGCACTGAGCGCAAAACTCCTTTTCCCCGAGGGCCAGGAATAAGGAGGAGGACCTTTTGCGTCTTCTCCTCCATTATCTCCTAATTAGCGCTTAATTTACTCTCCCCTGCGGGCTTTTAATTGGCGCGCCCGTGAAGCCAAACCGCTCTACCTTTCCCAGGAGCTCCTGGCGACAGCGACAGGGCGAGCAACATCAGGCACCTGCCTGCTGCAAGGCCTGGGTTTGGGGGTGCGGGGAGCTGCAGTCCTTCAGAGTCGAGACCACGTGTGGGCCTGGGGTGCAGGGCCAAGTGGGCAGAAGGACTCGTCTAGAAGGTGGGAAATAAATATAAACGATGTCCTTCTCCTTCTGGCTGCAAATCGCTTTTATGGGAACCTGCAGGGTGACCTGGCACCTTCCTAAACAGGCTCCGAGTCTAATACTTGTGGGCTACATCTGATACAGGTTGGGTTTGGGGTAGGAGAGTCCCAGGAAGGCGGCCCCAAGGAGAAATGTGGGAAATCAGGAAGGGATATCAGGGACGTCCACGGGTGTGCTCCTCCTGGCCTTGCGCCCGTACCCCAGCTCTGCACCCCCTGTCACGAAGAGCTCAATGCCAGTGCAGAAGTTGGCTTCAGAGGCCAGGAACACTGCCGCGGCCCCCACCTCAGCAGGCTGGCCCATGCGGCCCAGTGGCTGGAGAGAAAAGAGGGAGGAAAGAGGTCAAGGGTCAAGAGGAGCCCCACTTGATCGCCATGCTCCCCACCCCCAAGCCATCTTCTACCCCCTGGATCTGAACCCCACTCCTACCTGGGCCAGCGTGCCCTCTAGGATTGTGGCCCTAGGGTCTGGTGTTGAGGCTGCCAGCTCCTCCCACAGTGGGGTCCAGATGTTTCCTGGGGAGATGCTGGGGGAAGGGAGAGAGAGGATCAAAGAAATCTGTCTCCAATCACTTGGGATCCCTCCCAGTCACCCCAGTTCCCCCAGGAGGCTCTCAGCCTGCTCAGAGCAGCTCACCAGTTGACTCGGACACCATAAGGACTTTCATCCAAGGCCAAGGCTTTGGTCATGGCCGTTACTGCCCCCTGCAGAAAACAGAGCGGAGAAGAAGTTGAGTTCCCAGGAGATGGGGACCCTGCCATCCATTGTCTCCTGCCAGCCAGGGGGGGCATCAGAATGGGGAAGTCATGCTTTCCTTGAAGGCTGCCTTCAGAGGCACCAGACTCAGTTTCTTGGGAGAAACTTGGCATAGAAATCTGTCATAGGAAGGTCGAGTGCGGTGGCTCACACCTGTAATCCCAGCCCTTTGGGAGGCTGAGGTGGGTGGATCACTTGAGGTCAGGGGTTCGAGACCTGCCTGGCCAATATGGTGAAACCCTGTCTCTACTAAAGATACAAAAATTAGCCAGACATGGTGGTACATACCTGTAATCCCAGCTACTGGGAAGGCTGAGGCAGGAGAATCACTTGAACCCTTGAGGCAGAGGTTGCAGTAAGCTCAGATCATGCCACTACAGCCTGGGTGACAGAGTGAGACCTTGTCTCAGAAAAAAAAAAGAAAGAAAGAAAAGGGCTGGGCATGGTGGTTCATGCCTGTAATCCCAGCACTTTGGGAGGCCTCAGTGGGGAGATCACCTGAGGTCAAGGGTTCAAGACCAGCCTGACCAACACGGTGAAACCTCATCCCTGCTAAAAATACACAATTAGCTGGGCATGGTGGCGCATGCCTGTAATCCCAGTTACTCAAGAGGCTGAGGCAGGAGAATCTCTTGAAGCCAGTGGGCAGAGGTTGCAGTGAGCTGAGATTGCGCCATTGCACTTCAACCTGGACCACAAGAGCAAAACTCCGTCTCAAAAAAGAAAAAAAGAGAGAGAGAGAAAACGAAAAAGAAAAGACAAAAATCTGCCACAGGCAGTTATGGCTGGGTGCTGACTCTGGGAGTTGACTGTGAGACTCTCTCCAGGGATCTTGCTAGGTCCCACTCCATAGGTGTCTGGACTCAAAGCCAAGGCCCATGGGAAGAAGGTAGGGAGGGAAAGAAGGGGTAGGGGCTGTTGTACCTTACTGGCCACATAGGCAACAGCCTGGGCCTGGCCGATCGCCCCCACCAGGCTGGAGATGTTGATGATGTTCCCCTGGCTCTTCCGCAGGTGGGGGAGGGCAAGCTAGGGAGACAAGAGGCCAAGTAAACTGCAGAAGCCCTGAAACACAGCCCCAGGCATTCTGAAGTCTGGGATGACGGCCATCTCCCTGGCATGTTCCTAGTTTATCTCAGTGACTGCTAGAGACAGCATCTAACTTAAACCCCTCTCTGGTTTGCCCTGCGGTCGCTGGGCCTCAGCACTCAAGGAGTCTCTCCTTGTTGGGAAGGGATTTCTCTGTTCTCCTGGGTGTCTGATTCTGTCTCTGTCTTTGTCTCTGTTCCCCTCTCCCTGGGTCTTTGTATGTTACTCAAATTCCTGTCTTTATCAAGACAGGAAAATGGATGAGACATCCAGAAGCCTGCATATTTTTCAAAAATGGGAGGAAGGTCTTTTCCAATGAAGTCTCTGTGGCCCAGTCTGGAGTATAGTGGCAATGTTGGTAGCTCACTGCAGCCTCAAACTCCTGGGCTCAAGCAATCCTCCCTGCCTGGCCTCCTGAAGTGTTGGGATTACAGGCGTGAGCCATCACACCCAGCCAGGAAGTTCTTTTATCTATTGGGGGGAAGATGGTTTCTATGAGGCCTTAATGAAAGGCACTCTGGGCCAGTCACAGCATCTCATGTCAGTAATCCCAGCAGTTCGGGAGGCCGAGGCGGGTGGATCACCTGAGGTCAGGAGTTTTAGACCAGTCAGGCCAACATGATGAAATCCCATCTTGCCGGGCGCGGTGGCCCAAGCCTGTAATCCCAGCACTTTGGGAGGCCGAGGCGGGTGGATCACGAGGTCAAGAGATCGAGACCATCCTGGTCAACATGGTGAAACCCCGTCTCTACTAAAAATACAAAAAAAAATTAGCTGGGCATGGTGGTGCGTGCCTGTAATCCCAGCTACTCAGGAGGCTGAGGCAGGAGAATTGCCTGAACCCAGGAGGCGGAGGTTGCGGTGAGCCGAGATCGCGCCATTGCACTCCAGCCTGGGTAACAAGAGCGAAACTCCATCTCGGGAAAAAAAAAAAAAAAAAAAAAATAGAAATCCCATCTCTATTAAAAATACAAAATTAGCCAGGCACGGTGGTGCTTGCCTGTAATCTCAGCAACTTGAGAGGCTGAGCGGGAGAATCTCTCGAACCCAGGAGGCGGAGGTTGTAGTGAGCTGAGATGGCGCCACTGCACTCCAGCCTGGGCAACAGAGCAAGACTCCATCTCAAAAAAG